AAGGTTACTTTATATTCATAAAACAATTGAATAGAACATCCCTTCTGACCTGTAACATTTTCTTTCTTTTATCTGGTTTAAGGTATGTCAAATGTTTTTATACGAGAAATCCCCTTATTTACGAGATTGTTATCCTGTTTATATTATTGTAGCTTTATGTCGTTAGCTGTAAGCCAAACCAGTCTAAAACGCAAAAGAAGCGATAAGCGAGTCATCGGAAGATTTTTCCAAGTCTAGTGATAATAAGTTGTATCGTACTCAATAAAAGTTGTTTACTGTAATAAGATAATTAGGAATGGTAAACAAGGACTCATTGACTGTTTAATACATGACTGTCTATTTAAAGGTAAAAGTATTTAAAGATAAACAAGTAATAAGATTATTGCTTACTATTTTCAATTTTGTTTAATTTTGAAACTTTTGAGACCCCCGACCGAACGTATTGGCACGGTAATACTATACCTTAGTTCTTTAGAAATTTCCCTAAATGTAAACAAATATGGCCAACTGACATTGACGAATTTTTAGTCTATGTCAGTTGATCTACTAGTGACGCGACAAAATCTCTCGTTAATCGCAATTCTATAAATGTCATTTACGGACTGCAACAGACGATTATTAGATTTTTAAAGATCGTTTGTATAATTATTAAGATCAATCCCTCTTCTGATTGATGTTGTGATCAGTAATGTGATCGTCAAAATAGGATCTTCTTAATCAAAGAAAATTTAATTTTCACTTTTTTATTTGTTTTGAAATATAATTTAAATTATACTGTGGGTCTAGACAAAGTGCACAATAAAATCGTAAAAAAGTGCAATCCAGTCGAAAAGTGGTCGAAAAGCCCCTTTTTTGTATGGAGTTTTGACGGATTCGATTTTCGATTCGATCAAAAAGTGCGTTTTTTCTAGGGGGCTGAATTCAAAGACTTCTTCGCAAAGTGTGTTGTTGCATTCAATAAAGAAAAAATACATTGTTGAATATAAACTCGTTTATAATTTATTTTAAATTAATATTATCAAAGTAATTGGTAATTGAAATAATTGAATACTTGAAATAAAATCGATAAAATTTACAGATTATTATCTATGAATATTGTCTATGACTTACAGATTTTCCAGAGATAGGACCTAAATTTCAACGTCAAATGTCGATTTGACATTTTAACATGAAGCACAAATTTTCACCACCCAAATATTTTGTTAAAATATTTTGATTTCAATGTTAGATTTCATATTTGTTTCATCATGAGAATAAAGTTGGTTTCATGAGCTTGTGAAATAATGTGTATGATATTAAGAAAACGTGAGTATTATAGTGTAATTGTGTGCACAAGTGTTTGTTTACATCGATGGAAATTTCTAAAGAATTNGGAAGCCTGTGGGTAACAAACCATTGGACGTGGAGAGAGTCATTAATTATACGTATATTTTCTACTTTGCCGAACTTTAGCGCGAGAACGGTTTGTCCAAAACATATGAATTTGGTCTTATTCAATGCAGGATTAAGTGCCCTTCAACCGTCATGAAGACCACTTTTTGATAGGGTAAGTCCTTTACGCGGTATAACCGGAAAACCGAAAAAATGCCTCTTTCGGGGGCCCCCACCACTTAAGCACAACTCCGTCGAAGTCGAAAACTTAGGAGAGTCTTAATGGGCAACCAAAGAAGCCATTAAAACAATAAAATCTTTTGTAGGAATTATTTCCGATTTAAAAGCTAATTCTACTGGACTATATATCTAGATCTAGGCATGTACTAGATACAAACATGAAATATGGTCTTTGTTGAATAAACGATTGCTTCAACGAACGTTGAACAATCAACACTTTTCAATTATTGGACTCAACCCAATTATTTATTTTATTGCATGTCTCTCTTTTCAATCAAAATATGGAGAAGTCATCGTCTAGCACAGAAATACACATATTGACTTCATTGTTCGTTCGTTCGTTCGTTTCAGCCGAAAGACGTCCACTGCTGGACAAAGGCCTCCCCCAAGGACTTCCACAAAGACCGGTCCTGCGCCGCTCGCATCCAGGCCCCTCCCGCGACCTTCACCAGATCGTCGGTCCACCTAGTGGGAGGCCTGCCCACGCTACGTCTTCCGGATCGTGGTCGCCATTCAAGAACTTTCCTGCCCCAGCGGCCGTCAGCTCTACGAGCTATGTGCCCTGCCCACTGCCACTTGATTGTAGCGATTCTGCGGGCTATGTCATGAAGGTAACCCCAGTCTCGGGTTACCTACACCATATCGAATTACAAATTATCGATCTCCTACGGATCTCCTCATTTCTGATTCGATCACGCAGGGAAACTCCGAGCATAGCACGCTCCATCGCCCTTTGGGTGACCTTGAGCCTTTGTATTGACTTCATTGTAACTTTAATTAATACAGCATCGCAACTTTTTATCAGTTTCAAACCACCTAAACTAAAGAAGGAAGTGATACGAAACAAGTACGAGTCATGGTCGATATTCCTATTAAATAAATGAACTGATTAGTTTACCAAACTCATATACGGCAGGAAAATAACACACGTTTTTAGGCACTTTATATTATATTTTAGGAATAAGTGTTCGTTTAAAAAAATAATCGCTTACATATTATATTCGAGTGGTTGGAGTTGGACGGTCTCAACTCTTGAATTCCCGAAATTCCGCCCCTAGGCCAATACGTTCGGTCAGGGGTCTCAAAAGTTTCAAAATTAAACAAAATTGAAAATAGCAAGCAATAATCTTATTACTTGTTTATCTTTCAATACTTTTACCTTTAAATAGACAGTCATGTATTAAATAGTCAATGAGTCCTTGTTTACCATTCCCAATTATCTTATTACAGTAAACAACTTTTATTGAGTACGATACAACGTATTATCACTAGACTTGGAAAAATCTTCCGATGACTCGCTTATCGCTTCTTTTGCGTTTTAGACTGGTTTGGCTTACAGCTAACGACATAAAGCTACAATAATATAAACAGGATAACAATCCCGTAAATAAGGGGATTTCTCGTATAAAAACATTTGACATACCTTAAACCAGATAAAAGAAAGAAAATGTTACAGGTCAGAAGGGATGTTCTATTCAATTGTTTTATGAATATAAAGTAACCTTTGGTTTCCTGAGACAGTTCGGTTTATTAGATTTTGTTCAAATGTTTTATTTAAAACATTTTGTCCTTTGTCTACAACATAATTAAGCAAAATCGAATTACACTCTTATTAATCCTTTAATTCTTTTGTGACACCACAAGAAATGTTCAATTGTTCAGTTAAATTCAAATTACCATTACAAAGCGTCAGCTATAGCACTTAGCCTANTTCTTTAGTTTAGGTGGTTTGAAACTGATAAAAAGTTGCGATGCTGTATTAATTAAAGTTACAATGAAGTCAATACAAAGGCTCAAGGTCACCCAAAGGGCGATGGAGCGTGCTATGCTCGGAGTTTCCCTGCGTGATCGAATCAGAAATGAGGAGATCCGTAGGAGTTCGATCATTTGTAATTCGATAATTATGGTGTAGGTAACCCGTGACTGGGGTTACCTTCATGACATAGCCCGCAGAATCGCTAAAATCAAGTGGCAGTGGGCAGGGCACATAGCTCGTAGAGCTGACGGTCGCTGGGGCAGGAAAGTTCTTGAATGGCGACCACGAGCCGGAAGACGTAGCGTGGGCAGGCCTCCCACTAGGTGGACCGACGATCTGGTGCAGGTCGCGGGAGGGGCCTGGATGCGAGCGGCGCAGGACCGGTCTTTGTGGAAGTCCTTGGGGGAGGCCTTTGTCCAGCAGTGGACGTCTTTCGGCTGAAACGAACGAACGAACAATGAAGTCAATATATGTATTTCTGTGCTAGACGATGACTAAATTCTCCATATTTTGATTGAAAAGAGAGACATTCTACAAAATAGATAATTGGGTTGAGTCCATTTGAAAAGTGTTGATTGTTCAACGTTCGTTGAAGCAATCGTTTATTCTACAAAGACCATATTTTGTGTTTGTGTCTAGTATATGCCTAGATATAGGTACATACATATATACATTTTATGTCACATTTTCTATATGTGATCTCAAACAACATTTGGAAACATTGAATTTTCAGATAGATCCAGTTTATTCTGTAACCTATTATTGGTACCGTTTGAAAGAGCTCATAAAGCACTTTCAGGATCAGTAACCAGTTTTTCAATATCTTGTATAGTTTAGAAATAATTGAGTGAGATCACTTAACGTTTCCACCCTGTATATTGAGATGATAAAAATCTTGAAGATGGCGGGGTAAGGTAAATAAAACTTAGTACATTTGGGTTAATAGCATTTTAATAAATCCGATTGCATCTTTATGTGCAATGATCTTTTTGGATGAAAACTGAAAATGGCACGTATCGTAAACATACTTATGTGAATATTCTTCACAGGAAGTGAAGTAGCACCGAGTAGACATATTTTTAAATAACTTCACAAAGTAGTGATTGCTGAAAACCCGTATTCAATTATTATCTTTTATTTGGAAGAACAAGCAAAGGAATGTAAGTAGACGGATCACTAAAATAAAAACTGACGCATCGTTTTTCCAGAGACACTTAATAATTTCACTTAATTAAAACAAACAGAAGAAAATCGACAACTATTAGGTAACACAAAAAAATTAGTACCTATTGAAAAGTTTAAGTGTATTTGTGTTCTATGAAAGACACTTTAGATGGCAATTAGTGCTATTAAAAATTAAAACGATCCTGAAATACGGTTACATATTGAGTTACATAAACGTCAAGTTTAAAATAAACACACAATCTAGGTACATGGACTTAGATTTTATACGGTTTCTAAAACGTCCAAGTAGGATTCTGCACTCAAGAAAAGACTCAAGCCTGTGATTGGTTCTAAATATTAAAATCCAACAAGGGACAAGTTTGATTCTAAGCTTGTGTTTAGAAAATAGATGTTTCTGACGTTTTTCTTGTTAATGGTCTATTCAATGATTGATTTTTTCTTGTAATTAGGTATAATAATAACTTAGATGTCCATAATGTAATTAAATTCTACATACTGGCGGTGCTCTTATAATAAATTCGCGTAATAATATATTCGAAAATAAATATTGGAAATCACTTACTTAAACGTAACTTGTATATCATTGTAACTGGTAACTTTATCATTAACTATTCTATAAAAATATAATTACTTATACTAATATTTATTTATTTGTACTTAATAAAAATGTCATTAATAAAGGCACTCTGATTAAAAGCTCATATCATAAACGTTAAGAATTATAAATATTTATCAAAATACAATTAGTAAGTACACTTGTTTCCTTATTTGATTGTTTTGATTCTACCATTATTCATACAAGTACACAAAGTGGTGCAAGAGTGTACTTAATATTATTATGTACCTACTACGATTAATATTGTTATTTTGTGTATCATCAGGAAATTGATCAAATCAAATTATGCAGATGTAGTCCAGTAACAATGGAAGTACAATGGTAAAGGCTGTACCTACATCCATGAATTCAGGGTGTACCTACCTCCTTTTGTAGCAAAAGTTTTATTCGTAGCATAGTCATTTTTGCACCACTTGGTATATAGTATTAGATAATAATTTCATTAAAATAAATAATGCACTAAACGAAATCTCAAAATAAGCAATAGTAAATTAATACTTAAAGTAAATTGTGTATCTCAGAAGAATAATATTCTGTTTGGAATACCTTTATAGAATCGACATATCACAAATTTAGGTAACCAACATGCTTAAGTACTTAATACATAATAATAATTATACTAATCTTAATGATTATAGTAGCATATTTATATACTTTATACGTATTCAAGCAGTCTAGAGATCAGATTACTATAGATCAATTCTCACGAGCCCTGAATTACCATTTTGTTTTTCATACACAACTTTTTCATTGGGCGTGTACAGTTTTTCTTGTATAGCTGCGAAAGACTGCCCCTTTGTTTCAGGAAGCAAAATTAATATGAATATCACACCTGCTACCGATAATACACCGAAGCCCCAGAAGGCTACATACTCGCCTAAATTATCCTTAACTACTTGAAATAATTTCGTAACAGCAAATGTCATTAGCGCCACACCTATTTGTATCACACAAGTTGCTTTGGACTTGATGTGCGTCGGGAATATTTCCGACGTGATGGCAAAAGGTACTGTCGCTAGACCGATAGTGTACGAAAATATAAATATAGGTATCACAACGATAGGAATGAATTTGAGTCCAACGAGGTATTCGCTGTCCAGATCTTTCACAAAGAAATATGCGCCGATGATGATGTTGGCTAGACCAACGCCGCACGACGAAACAAGCAAAAGGGGCTTTCTTCCAAGCCTGTCCACTAGCTGGGAGGATATAGCTGATGTTAGCAGTTGGACTGAACCAAATAAAATACACGACTCTTCAGCCCCTAATCCACCTTCGGCTGCACCGAAAATTTGCTGCGCGTAGGATATGATTGCCGTGCTACCACAGAATTGCTGGGTGAAGTAAATCCCCAGTAAGATTATCAAGCCTTTTCTGTTGCCTCCTACCGTCACCAAGTCTTTCCATCGACTTTTCTCTTTCATGTTTTCGTTCACTAAGTTGGACATGCTGTCCAATTCCTCTCTGAAGAAATCTTTGCCTCGCAGTTTCTTCAAGGATCTTTCGGCCTCTCCGAGGCGTCCGGATTTTATGAAATAGTACGGAGACTCTGGCATGGCACTGAAGGTGACGACGAAGAGGATGGGTATCGCAATGTTGAAGCTGGCCAGCGCCAGCATTGACACGTAGGGCCCGATGGCATATTGAGATAATATTCCAAACTGAAATAAAAAGATATTATCGTGCGTTAAATATGAATATTAAAAAGTAGATAGGAAATTAAACTTAGGAATTTTCTTCAGTAAATTAGTGTTTATTTACAGTTTAATACAGCATTAAACTTATGGCAAGCGCTATTAAAAGTTGCTCACTCCGCACTAATTTACAGTCGCGTGAATGCTTGCTATTAAACTAGTTAAAAGTTTAACTTAGCTAGATTATTTACTTTATAAGGTTACATTCAAGTTAGATTTCTTTAGCAGTTAAACTTTACAACGCTATCGTACTCGTATTTAATTTTTCCTGCTGATGATTACTTCCAACGTATTTTTAAATGGAGAGACAAATTTTGCAAAGCCTATAGTTTTGATTTCATAAGTATGCGCAAAAACTTATTTTATTTGGTCAAACACTTTTTCTGTTCCCAGCCATAAAGGTGGTAAAAGTTGTGACAAGATGGTGGTGTGTACCATTAATATCCTGAATGTCATTCTAAAAAATAAAAACGGTAATTACCATGGCCTAGTTTAAAACCACTGATTCAATAAAACGCATCATCCCGCATGTGAGCTGTCATTTTAATGATTGTAACTGACATACCTTAGACATAACTGTGATGAGAGTCGCCATGGCGCCCCTAACTTTATCAGAGGCGATTTCCCCCAAGTACATGGGGGCAGCAGTGTAAGCGATGCCGTAGCCCAGCCCTGAGATGAGTCTGGAGACGTAGATGGTGGCCACATTGCTCGCCAGCATCACGAGGATCCAGCCGATGATGTAGGGAATGGCGGCTAGGAGAAGCGTCCGCTTCGTGCCGATCTTGTCTGCGAGGTATGACGCAGGGAGAGGGCTGATAGCTGGAATTAAAGAAAAATAATACTTAGGCATTTATTTTCAAAAGATCATTAGAGAAAAATAATGTTTATTGATTCTCTATAAGTCTATAGTAATGTGCATCGCATTAAGACTGAACTACAAGAAAGTCTAAAAACGCCAAAATTAAAAAAGGTCACAAAAAGCGCTCCCTTCGAAATACTACCAGCTGAGGACAGTAGTTCAGTAAAAATCGGGGAAGGAAAATGTACCATACCGTAAATATTTTCATTACATATTATACTTTGTAAGTGACGTAATGTATTATCAGATAATATTAAGCCTAGTCTGGATTGGAAGTACTGCTTAATATCAGGCATACTAAAGTGATATCAGGCAGGGCCAAATTTGATGTGCCTCCTAAAGCACGCGTCATAAACATCAATATGGAATCTATTGAATAATTAATTATTGTAGTGCGATGTCTAAGTTAAGCTTCAATTTCAGCATAATAATTATACTACGAGTACCTACTTAAGAGCTAGTTAATGAGAGCGAGACACGAATTAACGAATCAATTTCATTCGCGAAGTGTACTTGTAATCCCAACTAATATTATAAATGCGAAAGTAACTCTGTCTGTCCGTCTGTCTGTCTGTCTGTCTGTCTGTTACGCTTTCCCGCTTAAACCTCGCAACCGATTTTGATGAAATTTGGCATAGAGATAGTTTGAGTCCCGGGAAAGAACATAGGATAGTTTTTATCCCGGTTTTTGAAACAGGGACGCGCGCGATAAAGTTTTTCTGTGACAGACAAAATTCCACGCGGGCGAAGCCGCGGGCGGAAAGCTAGTTAATAATAATTGTACTAGAGGTAATTATTACGACTGAAATACTATAGGTACTAATTATGATAATATTTTTTTTTAACTAGTTAAGTCTGAAACGGTTTCAGGCCGCCGAAATACAATTTTGATACTATAAGCTTTGAAAATGAGGCTGTTATATGAAGGCTGGCGACATTAAAAGACACTCGGGGAGGTCCAACCTATCACCTCCAATCTTCAAATATCATCAATAAATTTCCCAGAACACGTGAAAAAAGTAACTGCTGTCTTTACCTGAGACAACGATCATAAGCGAGACGATCCAAGAACTTTGGTCGAGTGAGGTCTGGATCAGTTCTGGCTGGTGCCATCAAAGATAACAGCATTGAAAAGATCCATCCAAATATCAACATCAAAATATTTGTCCATACGTATGGAATGGGATATTTTAGTCACGTTATAAATATCAACTTTATTTACCTGAGACGAGGATCATGAGCGAGACTATCTACGAACTCTGATCGGGCGAGGTCTGGATCGGGGAGTCTGGTGCCATCAGCAGCACTATAGATCGTTTCATCTAGGATGACGCGCCCCACCATTCTTCTGCTAATGTTTAAGTTATAGGTACACGCTAAATTTTATCCATGAGTGCACACGCACACTATAATAAACACGGTCGGATTGCTCGGATCAAACTCACCGCACCCTGCGCTTCCCTCGACCAAAATTTGGCGGGGCGCGTCTTCGTGGATGAAACGATTTATAGCATGGGGACGTCCATTCAAACCTCTGTCTCCAATCTCCTAATACTTCTCCATACATACGTATGGAATGGGATATAAATAATATCAACTTTAATTACCTGAGGCGAGGATCATGAGCGAGACGATCCACGAACTCTGATCGGGCGAGGTCTGGATCGGGGAGTCTGGTGCCATCAACAGCACCAGCATGGGAGACGTCCATCCCACCGTCGTGCCAGCCGCCGCCGTGATCAAGGTAGCTGGAAAATTATAAGAACATGCGTCAAAATAGCCTCGGAATCTGGCGACCACGGGTCGGAAGACGTAGAGTGGGCAGGCCCTCCACTAGGTGGACTGACGATCTAATGAAGGTCGCAGGAAGTGCCTAAATGGGGGCAGCGCAGGACCGGTCGTTGTGGAAATCCTTGGGGGATGCCTTTGTCGGTCATTCGGCTGAAACGAACGAACGAAGACTCTTGTTCTTGAAAAATGCATCAATGTATTTTGATTACAATATATTTGATTACACATAAGGATACTATAAGGTAAATAATGAGAAAACACGTCTCAGTGGTTAACGGCCGAATACTGAAACGCTACTTAAATCTTTCACTCAGCTGACGGGCTCCTAAATTTAAGTATCCTTCAATTTTAAATGGTATTCTCAAACGCCACTCAACGAATTTGAAGCCGTGATCAGCTAAGCAGCTCTCAAATGTTTACATAATGGCAACATTTACCAAAAAAAGTATGTTTTCATTTACACAAATGATAACTTTACGTTTTTTATCCATTACACGCAGCATCGTTTGGTTATATATTGTCTTTTATGGAAATATACTCAATCAACTTAACATAGAACAGTTTATTTTTAGTTTCTATTATAAATAAATCTCGTTTTGTCATATAAAAAAATTAATGCTTGCATTTTTATTTAATTAAAAAAATGGTGTACTTTTTATTGTTGAAATCTATTAAGTGGCGATCTTGGACCGAAACGTAACCACAATTGACATTTATCATTGTTGACAGAGCATCAATCAAATTGACAAATCAACAACTTGGAAATGCTGTTAAGCGATGTCCCCATAGTCCTCAGAAATAGGCATGTTTGTATTGCGATTTCATAGCAGCTATTTTGGTTGTTACTTCGTGCACTATACGATGCACAGTTGGCTGTTAGATGTGGAAGCTAACACCTTGTACACGTTCATAACTTCCCGTTGCGTAGAACAGTAGGGTTATAATAAGTATTTGGTCCACTGGTTGTATGGCGTTTGGTGAGGGGTTTCAAAGAGCTTCCAAATTATGAATCCAGAAACAACACCGTTTCTTTAGAGACGCGGAACCTCGCTCTGAATTGCATGTCATTATAATAATATTTTTCAATAGCGTTCAGCCTTATTGCGTTCCTGTGATTAGATCTAGGTATTTCCTCGAGGCTCGAAAGAAATGATAACGATGACACACATTATTTACCACTATTTAGGTCGATTTAGGTATAAGAATAGGATTTAAGATACCGGGCAAGCACTCTCAAATTTAACAGCTGCTTAAGACGATTTGACAGTTGTTTGAGTAATGCTTAGCGTTGAATGGCGTTTCAGTATGCGAAAATTCATTTGAGTAGCGTTTAAGTGCAACTTAATTTGAGAGGTGCTTAAAAATTGAGAACTGCTCAGATATTGTTTTGAGTATGCGAAATGTAAGTTTAGGAGCTGCTTAACTATTTGAGAAGCCGTCAAATATTTAAATGGCGTTTCAGTATTCGGCCGTAAGTATATTTATAGTCTTAGACCACTGAAAAAATAAGTATAGGCTACTTAGTTTTCCGCACAATGTCCAGACAAGGTTAATCCTTTCCTAGGTGAAAAACAAAACAACAATAGCTTGCTTAAAAGGTTTACTAGAGAGGAAACATTTAAAGCTGGGTGCTTTATTAAGCTCCAAACATCAGCGGTTAAAAAAGGGTTGTAAAGTAAAGATAAAGAAAAAGGTGTATCAATCGTTACTGTGTGACATAGTGAATCAATTTTACAATATGGAGTCTCGTAAGGCAAGTCACAGCGCTTTAGACAGTCTTTATTTCATACTTAATCGAGCGGAAAGAGATCTGATGAAACGAAACGCCCATCCAGGTTCTACAGCTGGTAATTTTGCAAGATTGTAATCTTGCAAAATTATACAGTATTGAAATAGGTATTAAAATAACATTTCTCCTGGTGTTATCTTTTTCGAAATAATATCCTAATATGATCTGAGGTGGAATTGTGTAAAGCAATCGTTATCATTTGACAGTTCATAACGTACGATTATTCTGTCAAACGCTTTGTATAACTGACTTTATCGTACGTTATGAACTGTCAAATGATTACGATTGTTTTACACAATTCGCTACCAGATTTTTCTTAACTGGGACCAAGTAAACTGACACAGAATCTATAGGAACTATTTTATTTCTTGAAATACAAAACCTAAAATACAGAATCTCAAACGTGCTTTCTTCAAAGGTATCGACTTATTTGACTCGCCTTGAGTTTGCATCGTCTCTATAGAAATCATTCGCAACGAATTCAAAGAAAATAAATCTAGACTTGGTTTGGAAAACTAAACTAGAAATATTCTAACTCTGAAAGGAAACCTTTGAGCTGTGTAAGCTTTGTCTGTGAAGTTCTGTAACTTTTCAACACAAATGTAAGAAACACAAGAAGTGTTCGCACCTTTTCAGTTTTTATATTATTCAGCATGCATTTTCGATCGTTTCAGTCAAATGACGTCTACTGCTGGACAAAGGCCTCCCCCAAGGTTTTTCCACAATGAATGGTCGTGCGCTAGGGCAGAAAGTTCTCGAGTGGCGACCACGAGCTGGAAGACGTAGCCTGGGCAGGCCTCCTACTAGGTGGACTGACGATCTGGTAAAGGTCGCGGGAAGAGCCTGGATGCGGGCAGCATGCGTTTTACTTAACGTCTATTACAAAGTTTTTAAGCATTTAGGTATCTACTGCTTGTTATCAAATTAATGTAAACCATTTTAATTTAAGTACTTAGGTACATCTATTCTTACAACCTTTGATTTTTGACCGATTGTTGCCTGTCTTTGTTTAGGATTATCTCCGAAATGCTTGTATAGTGACTGTGAAGAAAACATCGCTTCACGTGGGAAAAGCCACGTGTAGAAGCTAGGTACTTAGTAGGCAAATAAATCTTCAGCTCTAAATTAATTAATTTAAATGCCCCTGATGGTACTGTGCTGTATAATCTTTCCTACCAGCATTAATATTTGCCAACCGCTTATATCAGCGTAGATATCACAACAAATATTCTAAAAATCTTATACAAATTTGCATACTGTGTTCTTTTTTAAATGTAAAATAATATCTATTTTGTATTGTGATTTCTGTTGCACGCTTCATTGAACCACGTTCAAGATTTACCTTTATTTGAACGACGTCTGGTAAACAACATTAATATTGACTCTCCCAGAGTAAACGCATTATAATAATATCGTACAAAACTATTCTTATCTGTTCATAGAATAATAATGTACGTACGTACAGTGTAAGTTTTCCTGCTTAAGTATTTTGTGTACCCAAGAAATACGCAAGTCAATTATTCTAAAAGATAATTTACATACGACTGATAGGTACAATTGAATTCAATAAATACGAATGATATCATGGAAAGTACCGTCACGAATAGTCAGACACATTCAGTGTATTATTAAATAATTTATTCAAGTGGCCATACAAAAAAGTTCTTTAGTTTCGCACGCCAATTATTGACATGTGCATACAAATTCTGATACCGCGCTAGTTGTGGAAAATTTCACAAGATTTTCGTCATCATCAATTTGGCAGTAGAAAGCCAATCTTTGAAGACCCACGTAATGATTAAAAAGGTTTCAAAAGCAGTGTTTTGATAAAACTAGACGAATGGCGAGACAAGACAGTTCACTCCGATAGCGTAATGAGGCGGTGGCTTGACGGAGCGTCAGCTTTTTCGGCAAAACCATTATCTTTTCGCTTTGACACCCGTAATGACGCCAGAGGGACAAGTCGCGATGACGCGCCGGTTTTATTGCTTCTTCATCTAATAGTTCTAATACTACGATATTATGTTTTTATGTGCTGGAATTGTTCTGGGACAACTATTCTACGGAGCAATATTTATCGTTGTAATTTTCAGCTCTAGTGATTTCATAGTGGTGCCGGGAGCTACTTATNGCACAAGATTTACGTTATCTTCAATTTGGCAGTGGAAAGCCAATCTTTTGCAGTGAAGACCAACGTAATGATTGAAAAGGTTTCAAAAGAAGTGTTTTGATAAAACTAGACGAATGGTGAGACAAGACAGTTCACTCCGATAGCGTAATGAGGCGGTGGCTTGACGGAGCGTCAGCTTTTTCGGCAAAACCATTATCTTTTCGCTTTGACACCCGTAATGACGCCAGAGGGACAAGTCGCGATGACGCGCCGGTTTTATTGCTTCTTCATCTAATAGTTCTAATACTACGATATTATGTTTTTATGTGCTGGAATTGTTCTGGGACAACTATTCTACGGAGCAATATTTATCGTTGTAATTTTCAGCTCTAGTGATTTCATAGTGGTGCCGGGAGCTACTTATGACTCGAGTTCAAGTTACTTAATTTTACCTCAATTTTTTACAATTTTGTTGTAAAATAACACCTATGTAGTAGAAAAAAGTAGCTTTAGTATTAAGCTCGATGTGCCGTCGTCCGTATTTGAACTGAATACTGATTGATCGAAAGAAATTAATTCTATTTACGATTTTACGCGGAAACAATGATTTTTATTTCCATCCATTGGTACAGACAAATACCTACCTACGTCCTACACTGTACGCTAATTAGCAAATGTAGCATTGATATCCCATTAATCGAGCATTCGAGCCATGCCATAAAACCATTCATTTCAGTGCCATTGTCCAACATTCTGTAATAGATTTACCGATAGTAGAGCACTTATTAAAACTACCAATAAGAAAATGTAGGTTTAAAAAGTAGCACAGTTATTTTGATTTTTTCTTTTTTGTTATTGTTTAGCTTGTGGACTGTTATGAATAGGGAAATGCGCTTTAGAAATGCGGTGTTTGAAATTTTAATCTTATGGCTTACAGAGGGCATGCGGTAGGTATGAGTGTGGCGTTATTTATTTTGTGCATTTGAAAAGCTTTTACTCTGTTCTCCGTGCCATAGTTTTGATAATCTTGAAAACCAATAAGGCCACATATCACCAGA